ATGTTTAATCAACGGAGAAGGCTGCAATCACTGTAGCAGTGGAGTACCTTTTTTTTGGCGCCGCCGGAGATTGCATGTCATGTCAAAAATATTTAATATTTTATTTCAAAACTTCCACCGTATATTCTCAAGACATGTATAAATATACCCTCCAAACATTCCCTAGTTTTTATTATTTTTTAATTCCCATAAATGACCTTTTTTTAGATTGTCACACTAGGTATGCTCCTAAGTCTTGAAGTTACAAGTATGAAAAGCAATGATAACTAAACATAAAAATTAATATTCGTATAATATGAATTTTACGAATACCAGCTGTAACTATTTTAGGAGCCAACCTCGTCAGGGGTAACAGATATATAAAACTATCTGTCTACTCTGTAACTAGCTTATCGAGTGGTTTGGAGAAAATGTAAACCATTGATCACAGAATCGAATTCACACGTGTCAGACAATATCTTTGGCGATTTAAATAAAATCAAAGGAGACGATTTATGTTTAAGCAATTCCAGAAACGTCTTTTGCGCTGCGTTAGAAATTTGTCCCCGCGTCACGCACGAGGAATAAGAAACATAAATAATTCTACGGGCTGCCGATCGCAAAGACGCGATTCGTCACACAGATTTATCTGTCGGTCCTGATGTAGAACGAATGAAAAAATGGATAAAAGTAATACGTTTTTATTTTGTCACTAGGACACTAGATGTAATTCTTCATGTGTTTTTTTCGCAATTTAGAAAGATTCGGTTGATAGTGGTCACATTTATCACGAAAGACTATGAGATGATCTCTTTTCGGAAGCAACTTACACAGATCTTATACTGCATTATAGTCCTTAATTCTAATGCTGCAAATATCTGTGATGGATAGTACGGCCAAACTTTGTATAAAGTGATTAATTTCAGTTTCCATTATACAGTCTTCAGAATCAATTAAATCCATATGTTGTGGATTTCCCATTTATTAGTGTTTGTATTTACTCAATGCACAAAATTTTCAATTAATACCTTGATTTTAATAATCCTCCAAAAATCAAATCAGTTCCCCAATTTGGTGTGTCAAATCGAATCTTGCATGATGATCTCAACATTGAAAGAATTCAAGAAGTAATTAGTAAAAAAGAACATCTCATATTGCTGGTTTCATAGACATGCAAATACAAGGATATCCCCTAATTATTATATTCCAGGAGATCTTCTTTAAGGGGGGAGCCTGCTTTAGAGGCTTCAAAAATGCATTTTTGATGAATTTTCAGGGCAGGAAATAATAATTTAATTGAAACGAAACTTTCGAGTTTTATTGCTATATACTTCAAGATTCTTCTCAATTTTTTTCATTAAAATATATGTCATAATATGCCGGGTACAAGCATTTTGTCGATGCGCCACGAGCATGTAGGTGTCATTTGGCGGGAGAGATGCAGGCCACAATTTTCACCCGAAACAAAAAAATCAAAACAAATATATATTTTCAATAGTATAGATTCTAGTTGCATCTAAATCCAGAAAAAATGATAATTTCGCCAATTTTTCGTAACCTGAAAAAAAATCATGTTTTTTTAAACAAAATTCCACTTTCGATTGGTGAAAAAGTAAGTTAATTATAACTTTTTTAAAGTTTTTTTTAGGTTCAACTACAATATAATTTAATCCTGAATATAACAAATTTTGTCTCATTTTGATAGGTCGTTTAGTTTTTTCCTATCTTTCCAGCCAATTTGAAAGAATCGTAAAAGTGTAAAATCGAAAAATCGCGCTTCGAAGTTTTCGTTCTTCTCGTATACATGCTTGACGCTTGCTCACTATTTCTTCTATAACTCCAAAAATAATTTGAATTTGTTCCATCAAAAAATCTATTTTTTTTCAAGCCTCTAAAGCAGGCTTCCCCCTTAAGAAAGTAGTGTTGCTTAACGAAGGACCATCTACTATATCCACTTTTTATTTAGATCAACATGTTCTGATCGCTGTTCAATAATGTAAAGAAATCCCCAAATTGAATGGAAGTAAGGGGTTTAACATACAACAAAAATATTTTTTTATAGCCAAACGAAAAAGAAACGTAAACGTTCAGGCTTGCTGGCACCTCGACTAATGGACATAATGATTAGTATGCAAAATATTGCAACATACTCATGATAGATTTTTACATAAATAATAAATTTCAGCTGTTTACTGCAAATACGCATTTCGTGTATGACGTAGTCCGTAAATCTTAGGACTTTCACATATTTATTGTTCTGCGGTGTCGATAAGAAACTGCAACGATTTGGTGCAATTTTCTTGTAAGCTCTAGTGCGAAGATTTATTTCTACGATTCAAGAAGCGATAACTCAGAGTTCAAGAGTCTAGACAAGTTTTATTGTGTAGGTCAGATCGCGGTGATCTAATAATAAATCTTAGGAATACGTAAATTCAGGCACAGTTCACAACGCTAAAGAGGAGAGCAGCAGCATTGGGCTGACCAGACCATGTCAAGATACTAATAAACATCTCCGATTTTCGGTCTATTCCATCTACAGACAATATATTTATAAGAAATAAGGCATTGGATGAGATATAAAGAGATTCGGGTAACACATTACCGGAGGAAAGTTTGAAAATAGTTTTAGAGGTTACATTTTCTAGTAATAATTAATGATTTGTTATGTAAAACGAACCTTTCATGTTTCAATATTTTCCGATCATGAAATATGTGATATTAACTTTGTACCTTGTATAATTCTGTGATGCACTAGATCTCTTAATCTAGTGCGATTAAATTCTATATTCTGTTTGGTAAATTTGCAAATAAGATGAAATCATCAACATAAATCCAAATCTAGTAATCATGCCTGTATATCATTATATTACGCTCATAGGAAAATTATGTATAATATATTTTATCATATGAAATATCAAATAAAGCGCATTTAACAACATGTACCCTTATTGGAAAATATTCAATTTATCTTCGGTACACACAGTCGACTGAACCGGGGATGTTTGTAGACTTTGTAACGCTTTAAACTATTTGAAATATGTAAGTCAGGATATTACATGCCAAAACAAGCTGTGGAAGTTTTAATAAAATATAGCAATAATATTTTAGTCTCATAACTTGTTATCAATAAATACGGGAACAAAATACAATTTGTTATACTATTTGTATTTTAGAAAGTCACTGTCATTTGTTATTGAATAGCTGTGCTAACACAGCAAAGTGCTAATACAGGAAAGTTTTAAAATAGTTTGCTCAAGGAGAAACACCACTATAAATTTTGAGTTAAATGAAATACTCGCCAAACCTACAAAAATCAATACTTGAAATTACCTACATATTTAGCTATAGCTCTAGCTAAAAGCATGTACAATAAGTGCTTTTTTATATACCAAGAGCTTCAAATTCTACGTGCTATGAAAAAATGGCTATACCCTAAGTAACTTCCACTAGTATAATTTTATTACTTGTCCTTCCACAAAAAATATAAAAAATTGTTGCTTAATATAGAATAGAGCGCAGTTTACAAGTCCGAGCGTAGAAAGGACCAGCATCATTATCTCCAAAACAAGCTAAGTATATAATTTTTTAAAGACACAATTTTAAAGTAGAAGGCAAAATATGTGACAACAGCCATTATCTCAATTCATACCAAAAGTAATTTATTAGTAGTTTGTTGGATTTGAGCTTTTGTAATTATTCGAATATAATTTTTAAGTTCGTATATTGTTTTTTTTAAGTTGGATTTAACCGTTTACTTATATAACCTCTATAAAAGCTTACATACGGGTGGGGTTAAATGAACTAACTAACCATTTACATTGCCAGAGGTATAAACAATAAGAAATAAAAAAATATAAAAGTAAATTAAGTTAGAGAAAATTAGTAATTAAATAAGGGATAAATATAAATTAATACTTATAGGTGATGAATATTTTTTTTAAAAATACAAGATCAAGGTTATATAAGTATAGAATAAAATTTTTATAAACTAGTTGAAAGAGGCATTTACCTTTAAGGCAAGTTGCATAAACTTCCTGAAATGTGTAAGAATTGACTTAATCAATTGAAATTGTTATTTAGATATTTAGATAAAATTGTTAACTGTTTATTTCAACAATAAAGTCACCGCTTTCAATTAAATCTAAACATTGCGATTTCAAATAGAATTTACTCAAACTTTATTTAAATTAATGGCATACCTTAGAAAAAATGTATGTATGTGTGTGTACGTGCGTGTATGTGTGTGTGTGTGCGGATACAAATTTTCGTCGATGATTTTGGGAACACGGATGAAGCGATTTGAATAATTCAAAAAACATTCGATTCGTATTGATAAGGCGTGCTGATTAGTTTTTGGTGAAGGCAGGTCTATCCGTTCCGAAGATATGAGGCAAAAAGTGCCAAAAAACGGTAACTCAGTATTTAAGAGAACGGAGCTTCCGATTTGAATAATTCAAAATACATTTTACTTGTATTGACAAGATGAAAAATTGATCAAATTCTTATGAAGGCAGGTCGGAGACCTAGCGGTTTCGGAGACCTAACAAAAAAAGTAAAAAAAACGCCATTTGGCGGTCAAAAATGAACATTAGACATATGCACAACAAATTATCAGATATTTTATAGAGATTTTAACAATAAGTATAAATTTCGTTTACATTCCTATGGGTTTCGTACCAATGTTTACGCGTTAGACGGCGACGCGGCGCTTACGCGCTTCGATATTTCGTCTTTATGCAATTAAAGCAGTACGATTGCTTTGAAAAAAAGTTCAGAATTTCCAAAATATTTCAAAATAAATGATTTAAGATAGAATGATTTAATATTGTTCGAAATTTTATTAAAGGTTTCAAATCATTGATCAACTTTTATTGATTAATATTTATTATTTTTAATTACTCGAATATTGAATTGCGGTACGGAAAGTTCCAGCAAACAGACAGAATTCCACTTACAGCTAGTCGATATTTTTGCGATAACTATAACTTATTCTACGGGAAGTTAATAATGGAATTTATTACCTGAAGTGATAATAAGAGTGTTTCCTATCACCGTCACCACAATGATGATGCAAAACAAGGCCAACAGCAGCAGATTCTTCCAATCGTGAACTGTGGCCGTCGCCAACGCGACATTGGCGACCGTGATGTTGGCGGCTTCCGTGTCGAAGGGCCCATCGCCGTAGACGATGATTTCCGTTTCGTTGCTGACATTGGCTTCCGTTATAATACGAACGGATGTCTCCGAGAACTCGGGCATTCTTCTCATTCGGGTAACCCATTCTGCACTGTTTGTTTACATCTTTTGCAAGAACGCATGGCTTGCGTTTGATGTCGGGAAGTTATCTGTAGAGAAAATGTAATGAATATAATAACAGACTGCAAAACAAATAATAAATGATATTCTTATAAAAGAAAATTTTATACCGTTTGAAATTGGACTTGTTAATCAAAAATAGATAATGCGAAATAACTTAACATAAACAATTTTTTCATTGAAATTTTAGCCGGATAAGTCAACAACATAAAATGCTACAAAGCAAAATATTTATTATACATGAGTATACTATTTGGGTTGTTCGGAAAATAACTTCGTTTTTAACTTCCCGTAGGGTAAGTTATAGTAATCGCAAAAAAATCGAAAATGAAAATTTTTATATATCTTTACGTTTCAGAGGTTTCTGAACATTTTGGCATACCTTAGAAAATATTGATGTGTGTGTATATGTATGTGTGTGCGTGCGTGTATGTGTGTTCGGATACAAATTTTCGTCAACGATTTCGGGAACACGGATTAACCGATTTGAATAATTCAAAAAACATTCGATTTGTATTGATAAGGAGACGTGCTGATTAGTTTTTGGCGAAGGCAGGTCTAGCCGTTCCAAAGATACGGAACAAAAAGTGCCGAAAATAGTAACTCAGTTTTTAAGAGAACGGTGGGTCCGATTTTAATAATTCAAAAAACATTTTACTTGTACTGACAAGATGAAGAATTGATCAAATTTTCATGAAAGCAGGTCTAGCGGTTTCGGAGATCTAACGAAAAAAGTAAAAAAAAATGCCATTTGGCAGTCAAAAATGATCATTAGACATATGCACATCAAATTATCAGATATTTTATAGAAATTTTATTAATGAGTATAAATTTTGTTTACATTTCTATGGGTTCCGTACCAATGTTTATCCGTTAGACAGCGACGCGGCGCTTACGCCCCTTATATTTTGTCTCTATGCAATTAAAGCTGTACGATTGCTTTGAAAAAAAGTTCAGATCTTCCAAAATATGTCAAAATAAAGAAAACATTTTTTTATTTATTTTTTTTGTTTTAAAAAGTAATTTTTTATCCAATTTATAGTTTCTCAAAAATTTAATTTTTTCGAAGTAAATTTTTTTTAAAAATGTTATTCGTTTTTAAAAAAATAATAATTTTTGATACGGGAAGTTCCAGCAATTTGCCTTAAGGCACGATGCCATGCGCCCCACTAGTTTATAGACATTTTAGAACGTAATTTTCGTACAACAAACAATTACTTTAATATATTTATGTATTGACAGGTCTGATCAAACATGCTTCGTCATATTTCTTCTATTAGCAAAATTCCGAAATCATAAATGTTTTGGTCGTTATTGGCAAAAAACTGATAGTAGTGCTTTTTGATAGGCTGATTTGAGGTAAAGGTTTTATGACCTAAAATTTTTTTTAGCAGCCGGAACTATTAATGATCCAATGATAACAGGCATGGAGAATAGGTGAATGTGTCATTGTGTCTCATTCAAACTTCAAAAGCTTTTGGCGATTGACCTAACTTATGTCAGGTCTTGCAGGACTATACTTTGTTGTGGGTTAATTCTAACCTTTTCTATTGAAGTATATTATTTAGTTTATCTAGCTGATGACATAAGGCATTCGAATTAAGCATTAGTTATACTGGATAAGCTAAAAAATGAATGACTCTGGCCACCCTTTTCTGGCAAATTTCAGCTTTGTACCTGTTCTGGTTCTTCTTTTTTGTTTTATGGAAATTTGCGTGTATTGTATTCTTTACATTCCATTTGAATTCCTAGTGACAATTCGCTTCAAAACCTGATAATTTTCAAGACTTTTCAGAGGCGAATCGCGGACGCCTTTTTCTTTTTTGAAGAAAAACCCCGCTTTTGAGTGATCATGAACTGTTAAATTTGATAAGTTTTTACTCTTATGTATTGTTATTCGTCGGCTTGCATCAATTAGTGCCTTTCTCGCGCCTTTATCAGCTTCAACTGTACTTCTTGGACTTGGTGCATCTTGAACATCAAAATAGCAGGAATCATTTATTAAAACTTTTATAAAAAAATATTTTTATTTTGTTATGGGGGAGCTAGGGGCTGATCGTAACAGTTTTTTTTCAATTATTATATCTTGAGATCCAATAAAAAGTAAAAATAATTCCACAACTGTATTCGTTATTTCACAATTAATCAATTTCTAGAAAAAGTACGAATTACAACTTATCCCGTGTTTTAGACTATTTGTAACATTTACCGGGACAATAACGACAAAAAATATAGTTATGTATCTGATTATTTATTCTTTTGTCATTTTTAAGAAAATTAAGTTGGTTCTCAGTGACTCTTTTTATACATCAACGCAAACTATAATATGTACAAAATAAAATAAATAATGTATTCTCTACTATAATTTTTTATCATAATTCAACGTAAACTACAATTATTGTTTTAATACAAATAGGAGGTATAATGTCTCCTGTAATGCAATTTAAGTGTACCCATATTTTACAAAATTCACCCAATCTTCTTCACTTGATAACTCTTGTATGTTATTCAGCTAAACCCCAGGTGTTATTTTTTTTATTAAGAAAGGTAACTATTCAAACAATTTAGCAAATAGTTTAACTAATTAATATAATAATATATTAGAGAATTAATATATCAAGATGACATATGATTATACGTCGAAACGTATTTGAAAATAAAAATATTATAAAATATGTTAAATTTACAATTGATGCCCGTCTTGACGAATATAATTTATATATATATATATATATATATATATATATATATATATATATATATATGAGTGAGTTCTTGAGGGCGATACATCAAACAAAGAAAAGCCAAAGATTTATAAAATAATCTTTATTTCCAAACGTTTCGACATTCAATTTAATGTCATCATCAGTGGATCTAAAAACAGTATGAAAATTAGTATATCTAGGTAATTATAATATATGTGGATTGGTAAAGTAACTATACAATAAGAGAAAAATTAACAAACAGCAACACTTAACAACAAACCAAATATAAAAGATAGGAAAGGTAGTAGAGATTAGAATTAAATAAATAACTAGCTGTAAGTGGAATTCTGTCTTAAGGCAATTAGGGCATCGTGCCTTGGCAAATTGCTGGAACTTCCCGTAACAAAAATTATTATTATTTTTTAAAACGATTAACATTTTTGAAAAAAAATTACTTTGAAAAAATAAGATTTTTGAGAAACTATAAATTGGACAAAAAATTAGTCTTTTTTGAAAAAAAAAAAATTAAAAAAAAAAAATTTTTTTTAAAAAAAAATTTTTTTTTTTTTGAAAAAAAATTTTTTTTCTTTATTTTGACATATTGTGGAAGATCTGAACTTTTTTTCAAAGCAATCGTACTGCTTTAACTACATAGGGACAAAATATAAAGCGCGTAAGCGCCGCGTCGCTGTCTAACGCATAAGCATTGGTACGGAACCGATAGGAATGTTAACAAAATGTATACTTATTGTTAAAATCTCTATAAAATGTCTGATAATTTGATGTGCATATGTCTAATGATCATTTTTGACCGTCAAATGGCTCATTTTTTTACTTTTTCCTCTATATCTCCGAAACCGCTGGACCTACCTTCATGAAAGTTGTATCGATTCTTCATCTTGTCAATACAAATAAAATGTTTTTTGAATTATTAAAATCGGACGCTCCGTTCTCTTAAAAACTGAGTTACCGTTTTCGGAACTTTTTGCCCCGTATCTTCGGAACGGCTTGACCTGCCTTTGCCAAAAACTAATCAGCACGTCTCCTTATCAATACGGATCGAATGTTTTTTGAATTATTCAAATTGGTTGATCCGTGTACCCGAAATCGTCGACGAAAATTTGTATCCGCACATACATACACACACATACATACATACACACACACATACACACACACATACACACACACATACACACACACACACACACACACACACACACACATACATCCATTTTTTCTAAGGTATGCCAAAATGTTCAGAAACCTCTGAAACGTAAAGATATATAAAAATTTTCATTTTCGATTTTTTTGCGATTACTATAACTTACCCTACGGGAAGTTAATTAAAAAATATAGGCAAAACTATCTAAGTACACTCATATAAACCTACGCATATATACATATATATACATACACATATACACACATATACACATATATCTTTTCTTTGTTTGATGTATCGCCCTCAAGAACTCACTCACATATTTCAACATCAAAATTAACTATTAAATCATATATATATATATATATATATATATATATATGTTTGTTAATTCATTCATTTATGTATATATAAACATGTATATATACGTATTTGTATATACATAGTCCCCATAAAATAAATGCGACATCAAATGAGGTTTTCTTAAGTCCTCTTGGCAGGATACTTTATTTCATCGCGCTAAATGCCTAATGGTGAGTTCATTAATAAAATTAATTATACTTATCCCAGTAATAAAATGTATAAATACTAACAGAGACTGATAATGAAAGTTTTTTGAATTATATATCACTTAATTAAATTATAAACTGTAAATATTAAGTAACAAATGAAGAACGAGATTATGTATCTTGTTCATCATTCATTCATTGATTGTAGTTATATGTAAAAAGAAAAAATTACAGATTTTACGTATTTAAAATTTTTATATGATTATTATTGAACAATATGTAATATACATAAGAAAATAAATGTATAATTATACTCAAGATATTTGATATATGTTACTTGTTTATTTGAATAAAGAATTTAGATTTATATTATATATTTCTATAATATATTTTTCTAAAAGTTTTTCTAAAATAAAGTATATTTTACCAATTTTTCTTCTACATTGGAAACGCATGCATGCGATTATATAAATATATTCAAATTCACAAATAACTCGATAAGTCAGTCTCGAAATAATCACATTTTGTTGCTTATTAAATAATTCAATTATAATTTCTTGTAAT